ACCTATATAATTAACTAGTTCATGTCAATGTGCATGTATATGTATGTATATTATATACACGTGTTAAGGGTAAAATCAAGCGCAATCGTACACGTGACCCTCTCCTGTTTGGACACGTGTCATCTTTAAAGATAAAGAGAATCAAGGACTTATGACAAAGTAAGCAGAACTCATCTAAGCCCCGACTTGATAATAATTTTGACTGATGAGAAATTCACTGATATTCAATGGAAGGATGATTCCGTCGTTAGAGGATCCTCCAATTTGTGGTGGAAAAATCCATTGCAAACTATACTCGTGGCAAAGATTAGATTTCCAACTCCCACCTCAAAAAAGTATGCAAACTCTTGCGTTCTACATAAGCTCGAATCGATATCTCAGCTCAGACTAAGTTCTAATTTAAACTTTTGATTGTACACATGGCCAAACATAACACTACTGCTAGGTTCTATTAACTGGTTCTAGCGGAACTGAAGTTAAAGTCCACATCAGACAGCCCGCCGAAGTGTCACCTTGGCCAAAGTCATGCATCAATAATACCCATATATACACATACATATGTTGTCGTTGAATATATATATTTGTTTATTTATTGATGTTTGAGTATAAGATATATGGAGCAAATTATAGCATTATCTTGTGGTATGTTAATTAGAAGCCGACCTCATCATGTTTAGGCCACGTGAGAGTCATATGCATGTAAAATGACCATAATATAATGCATTTATGTTGGAAGATTCACGAGCATATGTCCCATTTATGATGGTCCTCCCAACGAGGGTTGGCCATGGAATTGCATGACATTAATGTACTCATAACATCTTTAATTTTCTTCCATTTTGACCACAAACAAATCAAGAGATAGAGAGAGCGGGGCTTGTTTATGAATGGTGGGAAAGAAGAAGAGAGAAACAAAAGTTATTAGAACTTTTAATTTGTTCCTCGAAATCGCTATTGAGGAGCAAATGGGCTTATGGTAGAAATTAACAAAACTAAAAGAAAACAACTTCATGGCAAATGCCTAAATCTACAAAGATTTTGTTCATATGAAGAAATATCTAAAAGTTCAATACCACTTCTCTCTGAATTTCACATCTTATATGTAATTTACTGATCATCTTTCCACCCTTTTTCTTTTTGCTTGTTACTTCTGTTTGTTGCGGTAGTAGTAGAGGCAAAATTGCATTCAGTTTGTTCCAAGGGTCAATTATATAAGTGTGTGTAAATTAAGTTGAGCTTCTTGTTATTGGGGTATGCAAAGAAGTGTAAACAAAGTCTCAATTGATTATGTAGATGATGATCCATGGTATATAGATGAGGACAATTAACTCCATGGTATGACACATTTTGGGTGAAACAAAAAGTAAAGCTACGAGAGTTTATGCCCAAAATAGATAATATCCCATAAAATTGTAGAGAGATACTGAGAGGTACCATTGTCCTTAACAAGTGGTATCAGAGTCATGGTTTAAAACCTAGCTATGTGAGGAAACCTTGGAGGTTGAACAAGAATGATTGACGAACCTTAAAAGTTTTTTTTGATGAAAAAGTACCATAGGCAAACCTTATAAGTCATTACGGAAATTGTGGATGAATCTCTAGATTAGATAAAAAGTGTTCCATGTGGTGAACAAGATATGTTATGTTCTCCAGTGATGAGCAAGACATGCCTTACTGATAAGAAACCTATCACAGTCGGATAAATTGATAGAAATGATGGTGTAGCTTTGTTTGAGGGGAGGAGATTGAGAGTGTGATAGTGGTCGTCGACACCAGATGTTCCCACAATGTGATATGTGTAGCAGGTGTTCTATCTGGGGTTGATGCTAACTGCATGTCTTGGATAAGAGTAGACTCTCGTTGTCAGTCAGGAGTCAACAGATAAGCTCTCGTGTCAGGGAGTAGTTGGCTGAATGATTATTTGAGGCAAGATAAAAGTGACACTTTGTTTGATGGTAAAATTATTAGGTTCGTCAAGGTATTCAAACAAAGTTCCATATTGGGGAGGGAAAATGGCATAATCCATCGTATATAGGTGATGACATTATCTCTATTGATATAAGGTCTTTTGAGCCAAAAGCAGACAATATCATATAATTGTAAAGATACTTGAGGGTACTATTATCCTTAAGACTTGTGTTGGTATACAAGAGAGGAAGGGTACAGTTTGGTCAAAATAAAAAAAAGAAGCATTATCTTGTAGTTTTGAGAGAATATGGTTTAGGAAAATAAAAAGAGGAGCATTGTATGTAGTTTTGAGAGAATATGGTATAGGATGAAGAGAGGGAGAAGGTTGAAAGGATAGAAGGGGAATATATGTTTGATTTAGATGGTCTTTTACTTGAAGACAAGTCAGAAGTACGTGAGGAAAGGGTGAAAAAGAGTCAGGTTTGTTTGATGGAAATTATATTAAGTCCATTTGATTCAGTGAGAGATGCCTTGTAATTCCTTCTACCCTCTTCATTCTTTTGTTGTTATTATTATTATTAAAAAAACTCTTTGTGGTTGGGTTAAGATAGTTGTTTTTGGAAGGATAGAATGATTATTTCCTGTTTTGTTCTTCTATTATCCAATATAAAATGCTCACCCTCATTTTCTTCTCTGTCTCCTCTCCATTAACTCTCCCTCCCCAATACCCACTCAATATATACCGGTAAAAATACCACCACTCCTTCCAACAAAATATTAGTCGTCTCACCCACATTGTACCCATCCCCTGTCCTTCCTCTCATTTTCTTTATCCTCTACACTCATTTTAATTCTCGCTCCAACAATACTTCTCCATTGATTAGACTACCTGAAAATTCTTTTGTAAACCATGAACTTGTTTACTGAAATTAATTTTTAGAAAAAAAATAAAAGTGTCTCTTCGATCATGATAGCAAGTCTATCTCTTGAACAACAATACTTCTATATTGACGAGCTAGATACAACTAAAAGTTTCCTTTCCAACCATTAATTTTTTCGCATTCCTCCTTCTTACCTATAAAAAATTAAACGGTTGGTGCTGCCACTCAATAGGAAAGTATTGTCTTTTTCTCCTCTCTGTCTCACTAATTCTCTCGTTCTCTCTCTACCAATTGTTCATTGTTTTGCGTGTGCGCACGAGTGTTTGGACAAGTTGTCAGCATCTTCTCTATCATCCCCTATAAATACTCACTCCATACTATTCAACTATTCTATTCTCTTGCACTTTATATTATATCTTCTCTGTTTACAAATTACATATCCTACGTGTTTTTTCCCTTCCCATAAAAAGTACTTCTTTTACAACAACTTTCCCACCTTTTTTTTGTGCTGTTTTGAAATCTTTTATTTTGTGCATACCGAAAGATCATCATCAAATCATAATGGCCACAACCACAAAATTAACAGATGCCTTTAAATCCCACCCTGTTCACGTCCCCGTCCACAAAAACCTAGATTTTGACTCCTCCCAAGAGCTCCCCGACTCTTATGCATGGGTCCAACCCGCCAACCTCCCTCTCATCGCCGATCCGGACTCCAACTCTGACACCGTTCCCCTTGTTGACCTTTCTCTTCCTAATGCTGCCCACCTTGTCGCTACTGCATGCAGCACCTGGGGGGCATTTCAAGTCATTAACCATGGCATCCCCAGCTCTCTCCTCGACCGCATCGATTCTGCCGCGAACTCTCTCTTCTCCCTCCCGCCTGATAAAAAACTCAAGGCTGCTCGCTCCCCCGATGGTGTCACAGGCTATGGCATTCTTCACATCTCCTCCTTCTTCCCCAAACGTATGTGGTCTGAAGGCTTCACCATCGCCGGCTCCCCTCTCGACCATTTCCGCCAATTTTGGCCCAATGACTACACCAAATACTGGTACTAATTAATCCCACTCTTCATGTAAACTACTTATGTCTTAATTAGTTGAGTTATATTTGTTTTAACAACAATATTCTTAGGCTATGGCTCCATAAAAGGAAGATATGGTTGTTTTGGTATTAAAATGGAAACGCAATAAATAGGTATATTTATAATTTATTTGGAGTATTTTTTTTTTGCAGTGATATGATAGAAGAATATGAGCGGGAGATGAAGAGTCTATGTAAGAGACTGATTTGGCTGGCCTTGGGGGAACTAGGGATAACCTGGGAGGACGTGAAATGGGCTGACCTAAACGGGGATTTCCAAGGGAACCATTCGGTTGTCCAGTTGAACTCGTACCCGGTATGTCCGAATCCCGATCGAGCAATGGGTCTCGGGGTCCACAGCGACACCAGCCTCCTCACGGTGGTGTACCAAAATAATACTAAAGGGTTGCARGTGTTACGGGAGGGGAACCGGTGGGTGACGGTAGAGGCGGTACCTGATAGGTTGGTGGTCCAGGTGGGAGACCTGCTCCACATTATGACAAACGGGTTGTACCCTGCTGTGCTCCACCAAGCGGTCGTGAACCGAACGCGGAAACGGCAATCCGTTGTGTACGTATTTGGGCCACCAGAAAGCGCTGAAATCTCACCACTCAAGAAGCTTTTGGGTCCAACCCAGCCCCCTCTCTACCCCGCAATCACTTGGTCCGAATACCTCGGAACCAAGGCGAAGCATTTCAACGACACACTTTCTTTCATCCGCCTACCCGCTCCTTTCATTGGCCAATCAGACGTCAATGATAACAACAGTGTCATTGTGGAATAGCTCCTCCACTCCCTTCCCCTATCCCCTAAATATAAATCGAGCGTTAGCTAGCTTCCTCCGTTTTGACTAACCTGACTATAACTCAATTGGTTAAGACATATATCACCGACTAAAATGTTGTGAATTTGAATCCCTACTCCTAGACGTTATTGTACTAAAAAAAACTTCCCCATTTCGGCTAACTATATAAATATAATGTAATTAAGCCAACTCAGGGAAGTAGGTGTTGTTTTAGGGAAATTTTTCTTTTATTTTGTTGTTTTTTTTAAATAGAGGGTTAAATAATATGAGAGTGGGGATGTAGTAAGTAATATCAAATCTAGAGAGTGTGTGAGTTGTGATGTCGTTATTTGTTTTGTTGTGTAAGTTTAGATTAGACTTCTATGGAAAAAAAAAACTTTAAATGAAATAATATAAATATTTGCCTACTTCCAAAAATATCATTTCGATGTAAAAGGACATTGYAACGAAATTGCATATCTTTGAAAATAATATATTGTTAACTATTAATTGGACACATCATGATTCMTTCTTTTCAACGTTTAATCACCCTTGATCATTGCATCAATATCTTCTTAAAAACACACTTGAAACCTTTATCGAATTTCAAAAACAACAACTACTTTTATTAGATTGTTTAACTTATCTTGGGTCAGTTTAGTAAGTCTGATCAGAACTTTTGGACTTAGCATTGGGCTTTAGATCATCTTCTTGTGTGTCCTACATGGATTGGCCCATTTTGTGAACCCTAGAAAGAACTTGTTCAAACAAACTTGCATGGTTTGACCTTTGTTGTTGTTGTTATTGTACAAAGGAGTAAATAGGTATAGGAAGTTGAAAAGATGAGTTGCATGCATCAAAAGGTACAGAAAAAGAAGTTGAAAGTTGGCATTATTTGCCCAAACAACACATGAATTTCAAGAGAGGAAGAACCATACATTAGGCATTAAGTAAGTGGATATAGAGGAAAAAAGTAAAGGGTAACAGTGACACATTCATCAAATTTATTCATATATTCACAACAAGACAGGTACTGCATGTGCCCAATGAAGATCTCTATCCCTCGTGGGAAGGGATCAGATATTGAAAACCAAAACAAAATGTAAGCTTTTTCTTTTTTTTCCTTCTCCAAACACTTTTTTTTTTGTCTTTTCTACTGTCTCATTTTATCTGGATTCCCTACAAAATTATACAACTTGACTTGTGTGTGTGTTATTGGGTTTGGATTCCACCATTGCATGTGCTAACATTCTCAAGTAATCAACTACAAATTTTGTTTCAGGATTCTTGTGTTTCTGCATGGATTTTTCTTTTGATCTTATCTTTGAATTTTGAAAGGGATTTTTGCTTTGCTAGGGCTGTCTCTTCTCTGTACTTGTCGTCTTCGCCCTCCATCTAAATTACGCAGGAAAGACCCAAAGCCAATCTCAAGCTTCATAGAGTCTTTCTATTCAAGGACAGGTAGTYTGCATCTTCACAGACATGTCTAGTTCACCAAACCTCTCTCCGAGACAATGCCCAGATCGATAGTCTTTCGTACGGGTCGAAACTTACCCGACAAATAATTTCGCTACCTTAGGACTATTATAGTCACGGCCACCGTTCACTARGGCTTCAGTCACCGGCTCCCCTATCATCGGGTCAAAGGAGTGYTACATGTGTCGAAGCATTTTTGTTATAAATTTATTGAATTGGCAAGAAGATGAATAGTCCCTAATTATTACAAACCATTGTTAGGTCCTTATGTTTTCAATGTGGGATAACATACCCYTCGAGATGGTATTTTTTGGGTTCATCAATATTTTGGTCAAATCCCATTTTTAGACGGTTCTCGTTTGAGTTTTCTAAGCTCTGATCTCATATCAATGACACTATTATAAACTGATTAAGTAATCCARTCMTTTTTTATCGACGTTTAGACGAGTTGTTTCCAATAAATAACTAAGAAAAGGGTTTTTTTTACCTCAACATTAATCTTTAGTTCAACGAATCAATTTTAACCATAAATTTTCAAACTGCATGCAAAAGTGAAACATTCACTTTTGACAGTGTTGTCTTGTTCTCTTGCATGTAACTCTCATGCTATTGTTCATTGCACTTGTTTAACTTTTGATAAGGTTGTCTTGTCGTTTCTCTCTTGCATGAAACTTTTTCTTTTTTTTTCCTTACACTTGTCGAAACCTAAAGCCCATTTTTTAATGTAGCTGTTCTGCATGCTGAAAAAATGGATGCAGATGAGAAGAATAATCAAAGAAGAGGAGAGAGAAGCAAAGGGAGGAGGTGAGAGAAACAATTCTCAGAATTGCAGCGGTTGTTTATTCTTGAAAAGATAAAACTTATTTTAGTTTGGAAGTTTGTGGAATTAACCTCTTTTTGCTTATCTCGAGGAAATCTATGAAAAGTTTCATTCAATTGGATTCCATAGGATAAATATAATTCTAAAATATATATTTTAAATAATTTTAGAAAAAGTGAGGAACAAACTTTCAACATTTGAAAATAGATGGATAGTTCGAATACTATTTTGATTAATATACTTTTGACTTTGGTTTACTTTGATCTCCGTAATTTTAAATTTTAAATTTTGTTCATTTTAATTCATATACTTTCAAAATAAATGAATTAAAATGAAGCTAGACTAGAACAATATTTCAAACTTTTAAAAATTATTTTTATCAGATTTGTGACTAGCTATCTTCATTATTCTTGTGGGATGAAACTATTTTTTTGAATACTAAATACTGATCCTTGTTGTTGCATCAGATACTTTTTGATTGGACTTATGCATTATATTTTAAGTTCGAGCGTGAACACATGTTTGAGTTTATGCTTTGGTTAGGTTCGGGTGTTTCTAGTTAGCACGATTTAAACATTTTTAAACCTTAAATATAAGTGTTTTGTTAGTTGAATTTATTGTAACTTAATTTTCCAGTTAAAATCTATCCATTAAGCCAAATAAAAATGATCTTTTCCCCCCTTAAGGTAATAAAGCTAATAATGAATAATTACAATGAAATAAAACCTTAATTATATCAAAAGTGAAGCTCAATGTGTCACTTTTGAGCTATTTGAACTAGAATTTATGAAGAATAGGTAGAGATTTTATTAAGGATTTGACTTGTGAGAAGTGTCTTGTTGTTGGAAAAAAGGTTGCCTCTTGGCTTTTGCTTGGTTCTTGCCTATGTAAGTTTGTTTGACATGTCTTATCAAAGAAATGAATGAAAGTTATATTTTCTTATAAATTTCATTGATTCTTTTTATAACATTTGAACAATTTTTTTCTCTTCCAAATTCTTGATGTTATGATGCTTTATTTTCAGGGAACAAAGGTTCAAATAATGATCTTTTGTCCATAGGAATTAGTGCTTTAGCAATTTTTTTTTTAGGAAATTAGAAATACTACTCCTTTAATGAATCTAAGCTCTCCAATGAAGTGAAATGATTACAATATTATAATTACAAAAGAAGGCTAAGATTATAATTAGCAGTTATCCCATTGAATCTTTCCATTTGGTTTTTTATCCCTCCAAAAACTTTTAAATGAGTATCAGGGTAAATTTAATTTTTTCAACATATTCTATAGGTTTATTTTCATACACGGTAGACTCACATATTAACCCAATATCCAACATACAAACTATAAATATGAAATACTTAAACTCAAACTTACCATTCTAACACCGTTTATTAGAATGCTACAAAGACTAAAAAAAAACTTAAGCGAATTATTCGCCGTGAAAAATTTAATCTTTTAACTTAAGTCAATTATTGACCGTGAAAATTTTAATTTTTTCAATATATTCTCAATATTTTCTCCCTCAAAAGTTAGAGGTCCGAATTCCTACTTGCATTGTAATACCTAAAAAGGAAAACAATAAATCACTCTTTTAGATCTCAAAGCTTAAAACTAACGTAAGTTACGATCATTTAATCTTCCGATCTATTCTCAACGACCACAACCATTGGGCCATATGACACATTAAAATCAATACAACCATATATCTATCCATCAAACACATTGTAAACAACAATGGCAAAAATCAAAGAGTTGATAGTTAAGAATCAAATAGCTAGGGGATAAATAAGGAAAAAAAAAACCCCCCACATAAATATAAGTGGCAGCTAGCTTTGCATCCATTAGAAAAGAAGTGAATGAGATTTATTGTAGGAATAAAACACTGCGGTAGAATACAAAAATTAATGGTTTGCTTTATCTTCTAAAAGGACATGACACATGCCAATCCACATTGTCTTTCTCCTCCAAAAACTGTTTAAATGTCATATACCATTGTTTTAGAGTTTCACACTTTGTTTTTTTCTCTGTCTACTTCCTTCCATTTCTTGCCAAAACTCTTCCTTGTCATCATTCTCATATATATATATATACACACACACACAAATATATAGTGTACACAATGTACAAAAACTAATTTAATTAGTTAAAGTTATTATCATTAAATTATTAATGGTGGGTTGGCCTAAAACTCCCAAATCTCTAATGTTTATTGGTTCAAATTCTTTCAAGATGCCATTCTACAATGCTTAATGATTAATTTAATTGTGGGTGTGAATTTTTTTATTGTTAAAAGTACTAAAAAGTATGCTTCTTTGATATATATACACTTGGTAGGATAATCTTATTGTTTAAAGTTTTGGGTTTGTGGTACTTTTAGCACGTATATCAAAACAAGAGGAATGATTGAATTTTGTTATTATAATATGTTGTTTTTAATTTCATGATTTCATGGTTGTGAGTTCAATATAATTGACTTGAACTTTAGATGGAAGGAAAATATCACTATAGTTTGCAAAAGTAGCAAAAAAGTTAATAGAAAATTGTAAAAATAGCAACCATCTTTGAATTTTATGCAAAAATAGCTAAATTTAAAGGTCCAAATCATGCACAATTAAGAAAAAGTCTACTGTCAAATCATTCAGCCCAACGCACGGGGCCCAACCCAAATAGTTTAGACCAATTTCTTTTTTATTCTACCTAATTCTGTTTCATTTTTCTCTTTTTATCGCTTCTTTATGTACCTTGATGTATTAAGTACATTACGACTTTAATACTTTATTCTAAATATATAACTTACCTTCATATATCCATTGGTATACTTCATTCATTGGATATATCAGTAATTGATATACCTAGATGCACTACATATTAGGTATATATTAGTTATAGTCTTTTAATGTACGAGTATATACTCGGTATATATGTTCGAATTATATTACAATGTCTTTCTAGTCTTTCCTAGTTTTTAAATATATATATCACTAACTTATACATGGAGGCCCGCCCATAGAGTATATCTTGCTCTTAGTATGGAGTACATCAATGAAATTCACAAGTCAAATTATGATATTAGTCATAAAGGCAGTTAGTTGATATTACGGATCAACCCCACTTCAGGCCAGTAGCTTTGCTTAGCATTTTC